GGGGGAGAAAGTGGGGCGGGGGAGGGGGGGTAAGAGAGCGAGAGAGACAGAAAGAGGGACTCTGTTTTAAAAAGAGATTTTGTGATTTTTTTATATATAAATTTTTCTACGTAATTTTGGAAAGTTGGATTCTTACTCCCTTCATGAGAATTTTTTGTGAAAAAGTGAGATAAAATGGTTCACAAAAAACTATATTCCTATAAAAAAAATTAAGTAACTACCAAATATGGGAAATCAAGATTTTCAATTTAAAATTTATAGGAAAGTAAAACATTTTGCATACCAAATACTCCCTTAAAATAATTTAATTTATCATATCTTTATATATCTATTCATTTATCTATTTATATATATTTAAGTTGCAAATTATATTTAATGGACTCTTTAATACTTTTGTAGTTTCCAAAATAAAATTGTCTATAAAAAATAGTTTATTAGTAAAAGTGTATTAAAAAACTGTGTCGTAACACTCATCAATAAAAAAAATAGAAAATAACTATAAATATGTGTGAAACATACTCGGTGTATTTACTAGACAAACTTATTCTAGTAGTATGTAATGTCGTGTGAGACACTACTTCATGCAATGTTTAACTTCTAGTTTTTTTATGTTTTATTTATTTATACTTTTAAAATATTTATTATTTGTACTTTATACATTTTTTTACATAAGATGTGGTTTTATTATCATACTAATGTAAATATTATTGTATATTTTGAAATATTTTAAAAAGTTAATTTATTCATAAAATTATTTTAATTTTAAATTTAAATTTAAAATAATTATTTTATTAATTTCAAGTTTTAAAGTCTAATTAACATTAGTTTTAATAAGATATAATAATATGATTATTGTAATTTTAGTTATTAAACTTTGAAATTAATTATTTTTAATTTTTGTGATTAATTATGATCACAATGGTAAGTATTTTCCTTCTATAAATACCAAAAATCAATAGAGTTAGATGTATTGAACATTGTTATCTTTTCTCTATGTTCTCTCTTTTTGGGTATTCTAATCCCTAGTCTAGTAAAAAAAAATATTGTTATATTATAGGGGACTTGCATAAGAGTCTGTGGATAAGTCCATTAGCACATCTTAAGAATTCATATTAGTTTATGCTCTCAATATTTTATGGACAATAGTCTAAATGACTTACAACTATCCATTGAAATTTGTTTGGCATTTTGTTCAAACAAAATCATTTACACGCTTTAGAGGATTTAGGATTTTTGATCAAGTCATTAGTGTGAAAGCTGAGCACGGGATTGCAATGGCGAAGGAGAACGCGATGTACGCACTATTGTAGCTCTTGCAGATAGAAGAAAACAAGACATCAATTGGATGATCTGATGTGATTTTACTGTTGGTGAGCCTCTTAGAGAGCAACGAGTTATTGCCAAAGCGCATATTCACACTTTTAAACTTTATAAAAAAAAAAGTTTTGTGGATGTGTTAGGAAATTTACTCCTGAGGAAGTACACATGTTTAACTTATTTATTGTGTATGTACATGTTAAAGTTAACCTATAAGAAAAAAATATGAGGTGCGGTGAACGAGTGAAGAAAATAATTGCGAAATGTCATTTAGATAACGGTGTAGGTAATTAATATTGGAGAATATCTCTCTATATAGTGAGAGGAGCTATTCATTATGAATGAGAAAAGGTAATGAGCATTTTGCTATGAATTTTAGAGATATTTATGATTATATGTTTTATTTGCTTTTGAGATAATATGTTGATCCGTATGGCATAACATAAGAGATAACTAGTTACAATTGAGTATCATTTAAGTATCCTAATTAAATGCGTAATCGTATAATAAATGTTAACTTTATATATATTACTCCAATTATCACCACCAAATTAACTTTAGTAGTACAACTTAGCTATATAAATATATTCACTTTCAAACACATTCTTGTATTTAATGTTTATATTATAATTTTTTTAAATGATTATGCGGTATAATTTTTTTTTCTTCATCCAATTGATATATATATTCATATTGTCTTTAAGTTAGGTTTATTTATTCCGTATGTATTTGAAATGTAGAAAAAATCATATCTTTATTTTGTTTTGGATGTGAGATTATTGTTTTCTTAAATCTTTGAGATATTGACATATTTGCACAAGAAAAAAATTGGTTGGAGGGTCCAGAGTGTTTGAGAAAAAAACATATAAAAAATATAATTGATGCAATTAAATAAGATCATAATAAATAAAATGTTCTAAAGTTGATAAAGTGGAAACATGGTAGTGTAAAAAGTATAAGACTTGGTAATGGACTAGCATCCATTAGAGTCAAATGAAGAGTTGTTTGTCACTTATATCAATGAAGTTAAGTGGTGAAGAGGTATATAATTAAGAGGGATGAGACAAGGAAAATTAAAGAAAGTTAATGGGGGCCATGGAAACGGAAGAGTATAAGGGTTGATGGGTTAAGGATAAAGATGAACATGTAGGAAGAGAGTGAGAAAAAAGGTAAGTCTTGCAACCACATAAACTAACATGGATTGTATTTAAAGGTTTGTTTTTCATTTTCTAATAGAAACATATTGATGAGAAAATAGGTGAGAAAGGGGTATATAAGTCATGAGGTTTTGTTTGACACAAGTTGTCCTAATAAAATTGTGTTTAGTTTTGAGTAATGATATTTGAATATTTCAAAATTTTAAACACTTTATAACATAGGGAAAATTCATATAGCTTAAAATGTTTTCAACCAAATTTAAAATATAATAAAAAATAACATACATTTAATAAAATACCTCTAAATGTTTTATCCACGTATTCCTACATAAGTTTCTTAAAACTAAGGATATATAACATAGAGAGAAGATAGTAGTGTTCAATACACGAGACTCTCTTGGTTATTGGTATTTATAGAAGAAAATATTGATCATTGTCACTATAATTAATTATAAAAATTAAAAAAAATTAATTTTAAAATGTTCAATAATTAAAACTACGATGATTATGATATTATATCTCATTAAAATCAATATTAGTTAGGTCTGAAAACTTGTAATTAATAAAATAATTATTTTGAATTTAAATTCAAAATAATTTTGTAAATAAATTAACCTTTTGAAATACCTCAAAATATTTAATAATGTCCTACATATTTAAAAAGGTTTTAAAAAATTATGAATTTTCATATAGGATGTGATGCATTAGACATGGTGTATCAAGCTATTAAACCAAACCTAAATTGATAAAATTTAACATACAATGTAGTGAGTGTAGCAAACTATTGAACCAATAGCACTTAGTGTGTGTTAGAGGTTAATCAATCATAATACATTCCTACAATCCTTGTCATTATTGTTGTGTTGCATTTTAAGGCCATATGCGTGCTCGACATTCATGATTGTTCCAAAGATTTCACCAAGATTTAATGCAAGTAGATTCATTTGACATTCATATAGGTAATTTCATCACATGTCTATTGCAAATCATACTCCGCCAATAAGAGATATAAATATCATTCAATTTTTTTTTATAAGAGTTTGAGCTTTCTCTTAATCACACAAAGTTTTTATCACAAATATTGTTCTATTGTTAATATGCAACTTTAACACTTTCTCACACCATAGGTATTAAAATCAATTAAAATTAATTTTAGAGTGTTAACAAAAGTAGCACGTGACTTGTTCTTCCAACTAAACATTCTTCATAGGATCTCCAATTACAAATGTTAAGTTACGTTCACTATTTGTTTCAAGGAATTTTTATTATTCATTGAAATTACGATGACAACATCATAATTCAAACTTAAGACTTATGTATTTTAACTCTCCACCACTAGGTTAGTTCTTAATGTTCAAACTTTATAATCATTTCTATAATATTTTTAACTATAAAAAAGTTGATAAATTACTAATTTTTGTTTCTAATTTATAATTATGAAGAGAAAAATTATGGTATTTATTTTATATGGAAATGATAGGACTAAGATGATTTCTTTCCCTTTCCTCTCGGGAGTATGTTTGGGAATAGGAAAGTGAAAAAGAAGAAAGAAGTGAAAAAAAGTGATGAGAAATTAAAAAATGTGATGTATACTAATAAGAAAAATAGGTAAAGTATTTGTAATTTTTTATGGGCCCCATAAATCAAAACTTTCCTTTAATATATTTATCTTCAAATATAAAGACAATCTCCTTTGAATTTTGAAAAACATAAATATGTGATATTCTCCTGTGAAGTTCAACCCAAGTCGATAATTTCCTCCAATATCATTAGAAGTGTGTGGAAATCATTGTTAAACGGGTATGTCAATACTTATGTTATGTCATTATTATTTTTTATTTATCAAAATTTGTACATGAAAAATCTTTCACTATTAAGTCAATCCTAATAATTATGTTATGTTATTTATATTGTAAAAGTATTTTACTTACTATTTTTTAAAAATTATTTATAAAAAATTGATTTTAATTTTTTATTATATTTTTCATGTATTTATTTTATTTTATTTTTTCTTTATTTCTTATATATTTTTATGGATTTTTCAGACTTTTTCTCGTTATTTATTTTTTCTTTGCGCAGCATTATCAAAACAGGAACTATCTTGGTAATATATAAATGTGATATTCTTTTTGGTAACTATCTTAGTCTCCACTTTTTTAGATCGTTATACCCTTTTATTTTAAAAATTTAAAAAAATATTTTTTAATTAAATTTAAAAACTTAAAACTAATAAATTTATATTAATATATAAAGAAGATATCACTTTCAATAATTACTTTTAATTTTTTTTTACATAAACTATTTTATTTTTTATATGTAATTTCTCATTTATTTATTTATTTATTTTAATATAATGGCTGAAGTGCCTATTTTCTGCTAGTAAATGATAATGACAATTTGCTCCACCTAAATAAAGAACTGAAGCGATATAGTACGTGTCAACGCATCAAGGATTCAAATGACATTAGGCAAAACCTTTCGCGGGTGAGAATATCATACCCTCCACGTATATAAGCGGCACACTTCCCTCAGCCGTTTCAGTTGGCACGCTTCTGCAAACCGCCATTTGTGCAGAATTCGAAAATAGAAACAAGGTGAGGTCTCTCCGATCAAACGCCACCGTCCAACCAGAAACCCTAGGATCCGTTTGGGCATGTTCGTTGTAGTCGCAGCGGCGGAGCTTGATGGCGAGCATAAAGCCTTTGCCGGAGGCTGTTCGTAGCTCACTGCGTTCTGGCATTTTCCTGTTCGACTTCACTCGTGTCGTCGAGGAACTGATTTTCAATAGCCTCGATGCTCGTGCTACAAAGGTACCACTCGAAAGAGAGGGAGGGAGAGAGAGAAGTGAAAGTGCATTAGCTTTGAAAATTCGTGTTGTTTTTTGTTTCAGGTATCGGTGTTTGTGAGTACTGGGAGCTGCTATTTGAAAGTAGTTGACGATGGTAATTTTTTTATATTCATTTTGTTTATAGAAATGTCTGTTTATCTTTTTGTGCTCATAATTTAAAGCTGTTTGGCAAATTGAGGTTTTCGTCTATCTTTATGCTTTTGATAAATGTGTTTGTAGGAAGTGGAATTACTCGAGATGGGCTGCAATTGGTGGGAGAAAGATATGGTATGTATTTTTGTGTCTTCGTATTTGTGTGTCTTCGTTTTTATTGCTTTCTTTTCTACCTTGTGGACTTGTTAGTTGTTACTAGTTGATGCATTTGTCGTGCATGCATGCTCCATGTTCTGGTTGTCGATTCCTGCATGCAGCGGTATCAAGCTATGTTAAAAAAATAAATATCGGCTAGTAAAAGATATGTCATGATTAGAGGGGGGCACCAACAGACATTTTTATTGCCTTAAAATTTCCCTACTTAGTTTCATGATAAAATTCTCTTTCTGTTGTAAGCCAGAAGAGAAGACTGAGTAACTGTGCCTGTTATGTGCTCAAATTTCTTTTGTTGGGGCGATTATAGGTTGTCAAATAATTTAGGCCTTGTTTGGTTAGACTTCTCAATAAGCATTTATAATAGAAGAAAATAACAGTAAAATAAAGTAAACTTTTCCCTCAAGTTAAATTTAACTTATACATTTCAACTTCTATAAAAGCTCTTCCGTTTAACTTCTCCAAAATTCAAGGTGCACAAGATGATTTTAGCTTATGGAAGAAGTTTGATTCAGTTTGCTTTTTATTTATTTTTTTCTTATAAGTGCTTATTGAGAAATTCATCCAAACAAAATCTTAATTTTTTAAATGCGTTTAGTTTGTTTATGCAGCCGTCCTTGGGGTCAGTGTTAGGAAATTTGTGTTAAAAGGTGTCTGTTGTTTCTTGATTCTAAAAATATTAGTTAATAAAGGTAATTGCAATGATGAGACTGTTGCAATATTTTGCAATGTGTCAAACTCAACACAAAAAAGCTACCATGAGTGGTAGGCTGTGTAACATAAAAATTAAGCAAAAAAAGGATATTTTTTTTAAAATTTTTTTTATTATTCCGTGAATTTGAGTTTCCTTGCTGCTCCTTTGATAATGTTATACATGTATATTGAACAAGCAGCAACATCAAAATTTCTTAATTTAGTTGATCTGAATGCTGTGAGTGAGAACTTTGGTTATCACGGGGAAGCTTTAGCTTCCATTTCTGAAGTCTCTTTGCTGGAGATTGTCACAAGAACATTTGGAAGGCCAAATGGATATCGAAAAGTGTTGAAGGTGGGGATAACTTATTCTGGTAGACATTAATCATATAGTAGCTGCTATTGATGCAAAGTTTGTTTAGGCTTATGTTTCTAAATTGACTGCAGGGGTGCAAGTGTTTATATCTTGGTATTGATGATGATAGAAAAGAAGTGGGCACCACAGGTAACAATTTTGCCAAATCTGTTGATTACATTTTTTTCCTCTATATGTCCGAAAATGACACTTACTAAAGCTTAGATGGCTCATTTTCCCAGAATTTAAAGGGTTCTTACATGATAGAAAAGGATTTAGAGTCATCAAATCCTTTTTTTGTACTGATTAACCCCCTTTTGTCTTTGCACTTTCAATTTGAGCTAATTAAGATCCCAGTATTATCATTCTATGGTTTATTGCTCTCTCATTTTTCTGTTGGTTTTCCAGAGATATCAGATATAATATATATATATATATATATATATATATATATATATATATTTTTTTTTTACTTATTT